CCCGGGTCCTCCTTCCTCCCCTTTTTGAAGATTGGAACCACATTGGCCCTCTTCCAGTCCTCTGGCACCTCTCCAGTGCACCACGAGTGCTCATAAAGCCGTGCCAGGGGACCTGCAATGACCTCGGCCAAATCCTTTAGGACTCTAGGGTGGAGATCATCCGGGCCGGCTGACTTGAATACGTCCAGCCCCTCCAGAAGCTCCCTAACTAAATCCTCACTAAGCCTTGGCCCAGGTGTGCCTCCCCCAGGGCCCGAGGGGGGCCCAGCAGGGAGGTTGCTGTTCTGGTCCCTACTTAGGAAGACGGAGGCAAAGAAATCATTAAACATGTTAGCTTTGTCATCTGGTGTGATGACCAAGTTTCCCAACGCGTCCTGCAAGGGCCCCACATTACCTGGGACCTTCTTTTTACCTTCTTTTTCTTTTATCATTACAGGATATCCAGGTTGTAGCCGTATTGGTCTTGAGGAAAAGGCAATCAATCAGGACTCATAGTAGAGATGATCTCTTTTATTAGACCAACAAGATTTTTGCAAAAAAAACCAAATCTTTAATTGCAAGTTTTTAGGCACAAACACCCTCCATCAGGCATTGGAGAAAAGACTGTAAAAGTTTTCCTGGGTAGAAATGAAAGTTCATAGGGTTTCACAGAGGAGTCAGTAGATGGAAAACTCCTCCGGACAGCCAGTTCATAGCTGGTCTGGAGCCTCTCGCCTCCTGTGAGGAGCTCTGATGATGCAAATTACCTTGAAACAAAGGCAGGAGCAAGGTTTCAGGTGGTCACAGTTGCTTTCTGCTTAGGAAAACATGAAGATTTAATTAAAAAAAAATGGCTAAAATTCGATATCTTCCATGTGTCAGGTATCCAGGTTATTACAAGACAATTATGAAGAAGAATGGGCCGTTAACACCTGTTGAATTAAGAGTTTAGAAGGATAATAATGAGCCTTGAAGTCAACGGACTCCCTTGGCACCGCCTGACTGGAAATGCTGCTGCCACTGTCAGGGGGTTGGTTTTAAAGCCTGGGTGGAGCAGGGAGCAAAGCGGGGTGCGAGTGCACCAGTGCACCCCCTGGATCTGCCCCTGCAGACGGAGGGATGTGCAATCATCCACTGTAATGCACCACTATTTACGTGACCCATGCTTTTTGTTCAGTAAAGACCCAGCGTTTAACTAGATTAGAGCACTGCTAATCCACTGGTGCTTTGCAGATGCATCCGGCGGGGTGCAGCAGCCTGGTTGTACCCCCATGTTGCCTGTGCTGTCCGTGAGCTTTCAGCACGGGGTCTGGCCAGAGCCCCTGTTTTTGCACAGCTCCAGAGGCCAGGGGGTGAGCATGGCTGTCAGGGCTTGTCCCCTCCTTTCCCATGCTGATGAATTCAGTGGGGAGGGAAGGGAAGGTGAACAGCGGCAGTGAGCTCAGAGCTCCCCGTGAACACAAGGGCAACCAAAGTGGGGGGGCTGCACCCCTTCGGCTCCTCCTGGATGCACGACTGGCACTTGGAGCTGGCTGCATGGCAGCACTGGGAACAGCTGGCCCACCCTGTGCCATGGGGCTGTACAGAGCAGCTGCACTCCTCCTCAGTCTTTTTTATTTTGTATCTTACAAAACCTTCTGTACTCCTGACAGTTTATAAGAGATGATTATAGGAAAGCTTTGAAACTAGAAACATATATTTGGTGAATTATTCATGATGATAGTGGCTGTTCTTCCCAACCAAGATACTGCCAGCTTCCCCAGCACTCAAACTCTTTGATGATACCAGGCATCTCTGCCAGGTCAGATGACTTTCGACCTCTCAGGTCCCTCGCAGAATTGGTGCCCATTTGGACCCCAACATGTTCTTATAGGGCGGCTTCTTGAGGACTGGCACAGTTATAGCTGGCACGTCAGATTTGGCAGCACTGGCTTTAAAGCCAGATGTCTTCCCAAAGTAACGGTGTTCTTTCCACCTGTGATTCTCAACCTTTTTTCAACTCCAGGCACCCCTCATTTGACTCGAGGTCCCCTCGGCGAATGCCAGCTCCGAGCTTTCACTTGGTTTTTCACTACAGAAAAAAATAGTAGTGAATTTTCATCTTGCAAAGATCTCAGCCTGCAACAGGGCAGCTGTTTGGGAGACTGGATTCCTCTTTGAAATCCCTGGGTTTATCTTGTGAATCATATCTAAATGTTTTCATACCGAACAGTGCTCATACTGTGTGGCACCCCACAGCACCCTTAAGAGCATCTCTCAGCACCCCCGGGTGCTCCTGGACCCTGGTTGAGAATCACTGTTTTATGTACTCATTTTAGAGAACTACTGGTTTTAGATCAAAATAATAATGTCATCTGCATGGAGAGCTCTTTTCTGATGCATTCCTGAAAGTTTTATTCCTGTGACAAGCTGATTATGCCTTGCCCTCCGTGCTCCATTACTAATATGAAAATGAAAGGAGACCACAGACACCTCTGCTTCCTCCTATGGGTAAATCAGCCTGGGACAATATAATGCTAATGATTCATGAAGCTGCTTTTGAAGCTATACTTAATGAGAAACTGGGGCCAAGGTCCTTTCTGAAACAGAAATTTCCAATCGATTCTATCGCAAGCCTTCTCTGGATCGAGCGATTAAAAAAAAGGAGGCGATCTCTTTGATCTGGGACTAGGAATGGTGCCAAGTGCTCTCTGAATATTATCTGATGTTTATCTCTTCTTAATTAATCCAGTTTGATCTGGGTTTATGTACATCGAGAGCTGCTATTGCAGTCAGTTCCCTACTGCTTTTGCTCAGTGTTGTTTATCATGATTCAGCAGCGACAGAGGCCTGTAGGAGCTGCCTGCCGTCTGTCCCGCCTTTGGGGAAAAACGCACCTTCCTTTTGTAGACCGTGAGAGCTCCTTTCCCAACAGAATGGCTTTAAAAGCATTATTAATAGAATTATTAATGTCCTGTTAAATGCCTTTAAAATTCATCTGGAACAACACTGGAGCATGCTTTTCATACAGGCTACTGCCTCAAAGATGTTTTGTTTTGTGACATCTTTATTTAAATTTTGTTTCTGAATTAGTTTTAAATCTGTTTCATGTTTCCCTACCCAAGCCCACTGCTTCCAGATACCTGTAATAACTTCAGAACTTGCAGTCTCTGATCCACAAAAGCAACACATATTTCTGTAGGATGTGTATCCACCTTTTGCTTTTAATTTTCTGAATAATGTATTGCATTTGAATCCCTTAAACTTACATGGCAATCATTTTTATTTCCTTTTTCACAAAACATCTCCTCTGGCTCAGGACCTTTTCAGTGGCTTCTCTCATTAATTAATGCAATTACATCCTACTATTAGTTAACCTAGGTTGTTATGAATCTCCTGTGAACTTGCTATCTTTTTTTATTCCCCGTGCATATCAGATGACCTCTAACTAATGCTTTCCCTGTTCCCCCCATCAAAGACCTATCCTTATATTGTCCTTATAATTTATTTCAAATGGCCAAACAATGCTCTCTTTAATCACTGCAAACTGATATTTCCCCTGGAGAAACAAACCCTTTTCCAAAAAAGAGCTCTCTGGAGCTGATCCCAGCGCTCAGAAAAGTGACTGAAGACTTGGGTGTGATGTGACCACGTAGTGGTGCTAGTTTCTCCAGCTCTTGCCTGCTTAAGGAATTAGAGATTGACATTCAATATTTTGCAGTATCTGAATGCCGAGGGCGTGAATAAAAAACATAATCCCATTCCCTGGGGTGCAATTCTCCCCAGCGATCAGAGAATGTGTGTTGTTGTTGCAGAAACATTAATGCTGCACCTACTTTCTTATCTAGCTTGTGTACTTTATCAGAGCCTCCCCGGCAAGGAAGTCCTTGATGTGCAGTCCAAATCTCCTCCAAGGGTAATTTCTCCTTCCATAGGAACACAGAGTGCCTGGCTTCAAGAGACATTTGGGTAACTGAGGCCTATCCCCTGCTCCCACAGGCAAGGGCATCCTATAAATCCCATTCATAAAATGACCAGCTCCATCTTAAACGCAGTCAGGTTATTTGCTCCCACTGCTTTTGGAAAGCTTACTCCCGTGATGCTTAGAAACCTTGGTTTAATTTCCAGGCTCTGTTTATTCATTGCCAGTTTGTGTTCATTTGTTCTTGTGCCAGCATGGCCCTCTAGCTTAAATCGCTGTCTCCTTTCCTGGTGTTTATCCCCTGAGGGATTTATAGAGAACAAGCACTAGCTTCTCTCAGTCTTTGTTTTGCCAGGCTGAACAAACCCAGCTCTTTCAGGCTCCTCTCAATAAGACAGGTCATCCGGTCCACTGATGGCCTCATAGACCTTCTCCGAGCTTGTTCCAGTTTCACATCCTCACTCGTGAACGTACCCAACCCCAGGTGTCCTTTGCAAGTCCAGGTGGCAGCGTAGCGTGGCACCGTATAATGCAACTTGCTCAGAAGCATGAGCTTTCATAGGCTCCGGCCTGCTTCCTCAGGTGCTATGGGTGGGCTTGCAAGGCACAGGGGTACTAAACAGAAGGGAGTAAAGTACTATAAATACAAAGAAAGGGAAAGGGAGGGGAATGGGGGGGCACTGCTGAGAGAAGTGAAGGAGTATCATGTTTTCTCACATACAACACACATCGTGTTTCCCAAAAAACAGCTGTTGGGAATTGCTGTGCAGATTATAACTGAGGAATTACGGTAACAGCAGTTTCTGCCTTAAGCTACTGCCAGGCAAAAGCAAAAGTAAAGCCTGCAGGGGCTCCCCGGGGAGCAAGGCAAGGAGCAGGCTTGGTTCCCTAGCTCTGGGTAGTCTGTTACTACAAGGAAAGATCTTTTCTTCTTCGTTCTGCCGTTCAAAATCAAGGTATCTTATTCCAGGGTGTGTTGTATGCACAGAAATGTGGTGTTTCCAGATGAGGTCTCAGCATGTCCTCATCAGCTAAAATTAACATGTCCCCCTCTCTACTGGAAATACAGCCTAGGATTGCATTTGCCTTTTTCAAGGCTGGGGCCTTATCCTGTGACTAATACAGTTTGGTCTTTCTCCTGTTTCATCCAACCTGTGAGCCCTGAGGCCACAGTGTTGTGGCATTCAAAAAAAATCTTCAACACTCTTTGTATTGTTTTTTCCCTTTGGATTTGGTGTTGACCCAAGACCAAGCAGCCGTTCCCATCCAACACAAAACATCCTTCCTCTTCCTTAAACTGATCTTTAAGCTGGAAAGGTAAATGTTTAGCCAATTTAGCCAGTGTTTTTCCCACTCCTGTTTTCTTTTGTCCAGCTGGAGCAGAGAGCCAGCTTCAAAGAAGTGCCCATAAACAAGCCCTTCTAAAAATGTTTTTCACAAAGTAAAATCACTCAAGCAGAGTTTTTTCCTGGAGAGGTTTCTGCCAGTGCTGTTCCCCTTTTAATGTCATTATTTAACCCTTTAACAAAGATGTGACGTTAATGGGGAGAGCCAGCTGAGAACAGCTCCTTACTTATTGAGAAACATGACAGATGTCTGATGGCATGAATCCCTGCGCAGCAAGGATCTCATGTCTTTCTGATGGTGCTGTATTCACATTGGAGTGCCTGAATAATGATGGATTTGTTGGTCAACCTCCATAGCTGTTTCCTTTATCACTGTCCCTCTAGTTTCCCAGTTCCTGCATCTGCCATAATTTGAATACAAGTGTTACATTAAAAAATGGCACAGAAGGCCTAATGTGTCCAGCAAAATGTTGGGTGTGCATGCACAAAGCCCTCTATAGTGACTGCCTTTCTCTTTTCTGCTACCTCTGGGCAGTGGCGCAAGGCTTTTTCAGTGCTCCAAAAGCTGGATGAAGGTGTGTGTGGATTCTCTGCTTCCTGCTGGCTGTAGCAGTGGCTTCCCTCGGTGCCCATTATGCTTCAGCACAACGGCTGAATGGATCCACACCGAGCTGTCAGAGGGATCCTCTCATGCAGGCTGGCAGTGGTGGCTGCAGTCTGCTGCAGCAGAGCAGGGCGAATACAGACATGGCTCAAGCCAGACCCCAAGCCCCTGTGCAGTCCCCTTGAACACCTAAACTGTTTACCTTGCAGTCCAAAGGGGATCCATCCTCCAGCTTGGGGACAGCCTTGCCTTCAGGGACAGACAGCTACCTGATCCCTCCGTGAGGAAGATGTATTCAGAAGTGCACCCCCTCCCTCTGCCTGGGACCCCCGTGTCCACTCCTCCCTTTGTCCTGCTCTGTTGAGTAGCAAGTGGAGCACAGCTGTAGCAGGGTCGTGCCTCTCCCGATTTCAGACAAATTACTGTTCAGCTGTTCATTTATGATGGCTCCCAGGAAACCTTCAGGCACTGCTTCAGGGGTGAAGTCTTCCTGTCTAGTTTCCCTTCTGCCACTGCCAATACCTTCCCTAGGGGCGCGTCTACATGAGACGCTAACTGTGCAGTAGCCGAATTCTACTGCGCAGTAGCGTGCTGGACAAAACCCCTGCTAACATGCTCCTGCACAGCGGTATTAGGCTCCTGTGCAGTTAGCATCACTAAAAAGCCGTGCACCAGCGCTCCTGTGCAGTAGTGCCAGTTACTGCACATTAATTTAGTACTTGGTTATGCAAGTACTAAATGTAACGCACAGTAATTACAGCACATTAATGAACATGTAGATGCACCCTAGAAGCCGTTATCTCTTCCAATCCTCCTTTTCTTCAGTATCACTGTTTGCTGACAGTTTTCCCCCATCAGTTTATCATTAATTTCTGCCTCTGGAGCCTCCTCCTGTCTGCCCCCAATTTGGACTTCTGTCCCCAGGGACAGGGGCACATATCTTGCCTTGTTTGAGGTCTCACAAACAAGGTGAATGAGGACTGAGCTGGGACTCCTCAGCTGCAGGGGCTGTCCAGCCTCCTGAGTGATGCTGTCATTTCCCCATCTCTCCCTGCTTCTGAAGTGAGAAAGGAAATGTCTTTGGAAGCATTGCAGCTGTGGCCTTCATGTAAGAGCTTGGCTGCTCTCTGGATTCTTTTATAATTAAGTTTGTTTCTGTGGGTAATGATATTTCACAATGAGGCCCCAGGGGAGGGAATCATGCCCTGTGCTCTCTGTCCACTTTCACCTCCTCCAGACTGCTTGGTTGTGAGGACCCTGCCATTAACAGTTCATACACAGATTGGGTTACTTCCTCCGTGTCTCCGGCGGCCCCTGCGTTCTCGTGTCCCTCGCCCTTTATCGTCCACATACGCTCCTTTCGGCTGCTTGTTCCCTGCCGCGGCAGTGCTGGGCATCTCGGCACTTCTCTCTCTCTCAGTGTTTCTTCTCGGCCAGGCTTTAACATGGTGAGTCCCTGCTCTAAGTCAGCGTCTTCCTACTTCTCTGCTAAAATCTTGGATGTGAGATTATTTCTCATGGCCTTAAACTCAGAGATCAGCTCCCTAATGTCCGCTCCGGTGGCCAGTTGATTATTTGTCAGCCCCCGATATTCCTGCTCTGGCAGCCGCATCCTCATTTGGAGTCTGGCAGGGCTTCCCCACAAAGACTTTTGAGTGAGGTTTTTTTTTTTTTTAATTGGCTTTTTTGGAAGCTCTAGACTGTAATCCTGCACTCTTGAAGGTTGAATAGTTTAGGGAGACACAAGTTGGGACACAAGCCGTTTCCTGCCTCGGGCAGGGGGTTGGACTAGATGACCTCTTGAGGTCCCTTCCAGCCCTACTGCTCTATTATTTCTATGATTTCTAAGTCTTTGGTTTGCTAATGAGAAGCCAGCAGCAGGGCAGAGACCTCTGTCCATACCATGATACATATAAAGAACTGGCCAACGTCCATGGGCACAGTGCTGCTCTGTGCTGGATGGAAAGAGAACAATTCACCTGTGTCATAGCTACTGTACTACCAGCAAGGAGTGGAGATTTCTGTTCTGCCCAACTGGAAGACACAGCATGGTCTGGAGCAAAAGGATGTAAATTCTCTTGTTGCTGCTGCTACTGTGAGATTATCTGGCATCCCAACAGAAGACTGAAGTTTTGACCACATGGGCTATTTTTTTACAATAATATTGCACAAAAATATTTTAATAGGGGAATCAGAACACATGGGTGTATAAATGGGGCCTCTGTGCCCTTCCTTTGGGCATTATAAATTGATACTCAGAAGTGTAAAATGGGTGACTATTGGTTGTGTTGCAACAAGAACACTCAAATGGGAGGTGTTGTGATCTTAAGTGTCCATCATAAAATCTGTGGAGAATGTCTTAACTATTCATTGGGTGCATCTACACGAGACGCTTGCTGCGCATTAGCCTAATAACACTGTGCAGTAGTGTGGAGGTTACAACTTGTGTTAATAGCCTACTGCACAGTATTATTAGGCTAATGTGCGGTAAACATCACAAAAAAA